CCGCACTCCCAAGCGGCGCACTGTAGCAGTGCGCCACCGGGCCGGCCCTGGGCCGGTTATTTAAGCCCCTCTGTCCTTCAGTTTTCTCTTCTGTGAAATGAGGGTAATGTTTGGGCCAACTTTATTCAGTTATTGAAAGGATTAAATGAGTCAGTATACAAAGCACTTAGAACAGCCCTGAGCCCACAGTGGGTATTATAATGTATCAGCTATTCGTACTTAATCACTTTGGATTCCTCTGCATGCTGATTTCATGCAGAGGGATCTCCCAGGGGTTCTTACGATTGCCCACTTCTTCTCCCTCCTACAGGAGCCTTCTGCTGTGAGCCCATGGAAGGAGGGCAGTAACGGGTATGAAGGGTGCCAGTGACACTTTGGTTCCCACACAGATTTTCTGTAGTCTTAGCCAGGCTGCTTTCTTTTCTCTCTTCATATGATAGCCTTGGGAATATCCATCCCGAAGGAGCTATTTGTAAAAATTCAAATACTCCTCCAGATATCTAGATTCTAAAAAGCATCATGAGATCTCCCGGGGGACTAGCTCACTGCCTTTCATTGTGCCTTTCACTGTCCTGACCTTGCAAGCTGGGTCCCTAAGTGCCTCGCTGCACAGGAAAGCTTTTTGAAAAAGTGCCTATACTGTGGTTTCCAAATGCCGATCCCAACTTCCTCGGACTCACCAATGAGGCAGATTTCTAAGCCCAACCCTCACAAATTCTGATTCGGTGGGACTGAACGGGACACAAGAATTTGCACTGCTGTGTGACCTTTCATGGTGATTCTAACATGCAGCCACGTTTGGAACCACAACCTTCCCCCGCCCCTCATTGCCCATGTCCTTGGGTTTCTGTCCTCAGCTCACAGTTGATGCTTTCTTCCAAGTGTCTCCATAATCTCCTTCCAGGCAAGAAGTCCAGATCACAGCGCTCTCCATCTCCTGCCTGGGGCCACCACTGCTGCTGGTTTCTGACTGCTCCTTAGCCTTGTTTTAAATGTTAATATGTCTGCAATGTTCCCCACATCCTTCTCTTTTTGACTCCCTCTGGGAGCTCATATGCACCCGGAATTTAGTTGACATGTATACTCATGGCTTTCAGTTTTAGACTTCCAGACCTCTTTATTCCATACATCCCACCACTCCACTGAACAGTTCCACGTGGGGTTTGTGGTGGAGAATGCTAACTGGACCCTATTACCCATTCGCTCCTTCTTTGGTTAGTAATAGAGTCTAATGAGTTTAGCTGGTATATGGCTGCCAAGCAATAAAGTCTATTGTCCAACCTTTCTCCATCCCTGAGACAGTGGGATGCGAAGGGAAGAGATATATGCAACTCTGGGTCACCTTCTTAAGGACAAAGCTTCTTGCTATGGGCTTCACCTGGCCCTTTCCTACCAGCTGAAAAGAACAGTCATTGCAGGAGCCATGAACCCCAAAATGGAAGCTTCATACTGAAGAGGCCAGAAGTTCAATTTCTTTGGACACTAAAGGGCACTAAACATCTAACTCATTTAAATTCTGAATACTGGTGTCTTTTTGTTATGGTAGCTTAGCCTATATACTACTAATACATTATTTCATAAGCATCTCAAACTAAAGACATCCTCTTATTCCCTCGAACCATCTAAGAGTAGCTAATGAACTGTCCCCCTTTTAAAAGTAAATGGTTGGGGACAAATAATGAGGTCCAAACAGGAGCCTGAATACTGGGGCAGCAGGTGTCCATGTGAATCTAAGGAAAGTTCTATGGAAACTTGTAAGCTAGTTTGATCAGTGTCTGGCTATTTTTCAAACGTACCTGCTCTTGGTTGAACTGACAACAGACATGGGATGGTTGATGTCATCTTTCACCACCATGATGTTGTGCTGAGGACAAAGCAGAGAGAGTAGGCTGCCAGTCCCACACACTAAAGCCCTTCTGCTCCCTCCCTCCTCCAGCCCCTCAGGACTCTCAGAGAAGGGCCACATCACAGACATACACCAGCAGGGAGACAGAGGGCTTACTTTGTATTTGCGGAGTATTGAGGAGTGATTCATGATTCGGTCTGTGTCAGCTGCATCCCTGGGCACCACCACAATCCCAAAGTCCCCAACAATCACCTCCATCTGAAGAGAGAGAGAGGGCACTTTAGTGAACCAAATCCCTATAAAGCAACTATTTAGCAGGGTAAACTATCCACCATTCTTCCATGTGGAACCCCAAACTTTAGTCCCAACTTTTCTCAGCACCATCAGTCAGTTCCATCAAGTAACAACTTGTAACAGTGTCAGTAGAGTGAGTGGGAACCTCGCCTAGCACATAGGAAATGTTTAATAAATACTAGACTGAATGAAGAAATGCACTCTTGCATGTCTGGGCGAGATGACTCCAATCCCTGAGGCCCCTGTTGAGTTTGTAACGCTGCAGGATAATCTGAATGACATACAGTCCTAATCTGGTAGATACCCTCATTGCCCAGCAAGCAAGTCTCAGCTCTCAGCTGGGTGTCACAGGAATTGACCAGTGTCAGCTGGGTCACCCACCTAAATGCTGCTGTAGGACTCAAGGGCAGCTAAGAGCAGAGAAGGGCTTGGAATGCACCACTGTGTGCCCAGGCAGTGACAGGATGATGGTGATGATTACTGTGGCCACTTCTGAGACCAGCCTGTGATAGAAGCTTGGGCCATAATGAGAAATGAAACCTTCTTTTCATATTAAAAAAATAACATTTTTATCTTCTCTTTCTGATCTTAGATGTGATACAAGCTTGGAAAACTCCAGAGAGAAAAAAAAAAATCACAACCACACAATCTGAGTAGTCACTGTTAACATTTTAGTATATTTCTGTCCAATGTCTTCCTCTTTACAAATAGGTGTATATATATCTACAATTGGATCAAACTGCAAAATTAGTAATTTTACTTACATTTTTAAGTTAGCATTACATTGTGATCATTTTCTCACATTGTTAAAAATTATTTCCCAACATGTTTTAACTATGTATTTTATTGTTTGACTACACCATGATATATATTAAACCAATCCTATATTGTGGAAAGTGTACACTTACTATATTGTGGAAAGTATACAGTGTTATACATAACACTTTGATGAAGATCTTTATACATACATTTTTTAACACATTCCTGATTATTTCTTTAGGATAAGAAATAAAATAATTGGATAAAGGATATAAACTGGACATATGAGTATTTCAAACTCTTGAGACATATTACCAAGTTGCTTTCTGGAAATTCATGCCAATTTTTATTTTCAAAGAGCCTGAAAGTTATGATATTTAATTGACTTGGATCTAGCCTGGGCATATTACTGTTTAGATCTTGCCAATTATGAATTCCAGATGCAGGGACAGGAGGAGAGAGGTTGTTTCTAAGTAGTGTAGCTCATTGAGCAAGATCTGCTTTGGGAGCAAGAGACCCAGACATTTTTCCTGATAATTCTCCAAACAAATGCCGCAAAATCAGACATTATGGAGCACTGACGCCCCTTCTTCTCTACCAGAGCATTTCTGTACCAGCAGAATTCCATTCCTAAGCCTGAGTCAGTGTGTGTGTGTCTGTGTGTGTGTGCATACACGCACGCGCACACACCTCTTTGGCTATTTCAATCCACCTTACTCTGTTTCCCCACTGTTTACAACTGGGGCTAGAATTGCAATTGGAACTTTGATGTTGCTGGAATTAAAAGTTGACCAAAGGTGCCCTAGGAGGGAAGTTGGGAACAGAAGTTAAAAGCTGTGTGTAGAGGGGCCGGCCCGGTGGCGCACTCGGTTGAGTGCGGCGCTTGGGAGTGTGGCGGCGCTCCCGCCGAGGGTTCGGATCCCATATAGAGACTGGTCAGCTCACTGGCTGAGCGCGGTGTGGGCGCGACACCGAGGGTCGCGATCCCGATGCCGGTCGCAGTATGGGCGTGACACCGAGGGTTGCGATCCCGTTACTGGTCACGAAAAAAAGACAAAAAGGAAAAAAAAAAAAAAGCTGTGTGTAGAACATCAGAGCCCCCTTCCCCCCGGGTCATGCCGCTTAGAAGACACAGAGCATTGTACAACATGCTGCATCTGTTGGTATTGTTCAGATCAGGGAAACTGGCATGAAGGCTTCTGTCCTACAAACTGGGAATGTTAAGGGAGAGGCTGGGCAGGGAGGTAAAGGGAGATCCAGCTCTTTCTGACATAGCTTTTGGAACATTACACTGGGATTCATTACTTACACACTGGTTCTCAAACTTGGATGCACGTTAGACTCACCTGAGGGTCTTTAAAAAAATCTCAAAGGCCAGCTCACACCCCAAATCAATTACACTAGAATTTTGGAAGGGGGCCCAGGCATCAGTATTTTATTTTTTAATTTCCCAGGTGATTCCAATATGCAATCAAGTTTGAGAATAAGTGGTCTAAGTGCTGAATTAAAACTCCAGCGAAACTGGTATGGCAGAGAAAGAGACAGTAAAGAAAGGAGGAGAGGAGAGCAGAGGAGAGGAGCGGAGAGAGAGTCCATCCAAGCTGGTATACACGGACATTCCTAAACGGCCTGGTTCTATAGAGGTTTCAAGATAATCTGGTGTAGGCTGAATAATGTAGGATCTGCCTTCAAACTTGATGGCTGTTTCATATATGATGTGTGTAATAATGGGGCTATTTAAAGTGAGTGTTCTAGTTTAAAGCATGAAAATAATGGTTCCAAAAGGCAGTCAGCTCTCATGGCAGAGTCATCCTGTGGGTGACATTAGTGCAGCTGCTGCTCTCCACTCAGGACCTAATGATCTGAGCACCCAATCAATAACTGCCAGGCTTCTCAGTGGGCAGCAAGCAGATGAGACTTTGATACTCGAGTTGTTTTCCTTATCCAGAAACAGGTGACAGCCTCGCCCCTGGGAATCACAGATGGGGTGAAGGAGACAGGGTCAATGAGACAAGACCCAGAGCTTTGGTGACATCTCTGCAGGGGTTCAGACGAGACACTGTTCACCCTCTCTGCTCCTTTGGCCAGACACTGGCTCATGGGCTTGATTTTTATGCTGTATGGCGTGTGTGTGTGTGTGTGTGCGTTTAGGGGGCCCTCAGTCCCATTGGTACTCATCTCCCTCCAGGGGTCTATTTGTCCTTCCCGCTCCCACCCCCACCCATTCCTTGTCGCCACCAGGCCTCTAGACACCACCCTCTCCTGGTTGTCCTCCTATCTCTCTGGATGGTCCTTGCTGGTCTTCCTGTACTGATTCCTCCTCTTCTCTCTGACCTTGAACCACTGGAGTTCCCCAGGCCTCAGGCCTTGGACTCCTTTTTTTTTCTATCTACACTCACACCCTTAATAATTTTATTCAGTTTCAAAGCTTTGAAGATGCACTAAAGGCTCCCAAATCAATATTTCTATCGTAGACTTCTCTCCTGAACTCCAGGCTCATATACAGCTGCTTCTCAACATGCCCATTTGCATGGTGCATCTCAAACTTAGTATGTTCATGAGCCCCTGGACCTACTAACATAAATAGATAAACCAACGCCCCCCACCCCCCAAGAAATGTTTTTCCTACAGTCTTTTTCATTTTGACAAATAGAAACGTGTCTTACAATTGCTCAGATCAAAAGCCTCGGCATCTTCCTTGTTTCCTCTCTTTCGCTCACATCCCACTTTTAGTCCATAAGGTAATCTTTTTGACACCACCTTGCAAAATAAAGCCAAGAATCTGCTCATTTCTCACCATTTCCGTCACTTCTACCCTGGTGCAAGCCTCTCTTGGTAGGCTGAATAATGGCTTCCAAAGATATCCAGGTCCTAATCCCTGGAATCTGTGGCTGTTACCTAACATGACCCTTTGCAGATGTAGTTAAACTAAGGATCATGAGACTACCCTGGGTTATCTGGAAAGGCCCTAAATGCAGTAACAAGTGTCCTTACAACAGGAAGCAGAGGGAGATTTGACACAGAAGAGAGATGGTGTGAAGACGGAGCAGAGAAAGATTTCAAGATGCTAAATTGTTGGCCTTGAAGATGGAGGAATGGGCCATGAGCCAACAAATGCACCAAATGCAGCTCGGAAAGCTGGAAAAGTCAAGGAAATAGCTTCTCCCCCAGAGCCTCTGGAGGGAGTACAGCCTTGTCAACAACTTGGTTTGGGCTCAGTGAAACCTGTTTCAGACTTCTGGCTTCCAGAACTGTAAGAGAATAAGTACATGTTATTTAAACCACCAAGTTTGCAGCAATAGGAAACTAAGTCATCACCATCATCTCTCACTTGCATTGCTCTGGTGTCCCTGTTATTGTTTTCTTGCCTTTTTCAGTCTGTTCCCAACAGCTGGACTGATAACATTAAAATATAAGTCAAATTATATTGCTCTCTGGCTCAAAACCCTTTGCTTAAATATCACATTCTTGGTTAGACCTTCTCTGACCATGCCAATTAAACTTGCATCCTGTGCACCCCTCATGCCTCTGTCCTCTCAAGAGTTGCACTTCCACCTTTTCGGCTCTCTGAGCAAGGACTAAGGTGGTTAGAAGAACAAGCACTTACAGAGGGCATCAAAAAGGGAGCCAAGAAGAAACTGTTTGATCCATTTTTTAAGACTGGAATAATGTGAAAGCACCAGCTGTGTTCAATATAAGAAATATTGGAAAAACACTAGTCACAAAGACTCAAGGAACCAAAATTGCATCTGATAGCCTCAAGGGTCGTGTGTTTGGAGTGAGACTTGCTGATCTGCAGAATGAGAAAATTTAAGGTAATCACTGAGGACTTTTCAGGCAATAACTGCTGACTAACTTCCATGGCATGGATCTTAGCTGTGACAAAATGTACTCCATGGTCAAAAATGGCAGACCATGATTGAAGCTCATGTTGATGTCAAGACTATTGATGGTTATTTGCTTTGTCTGTTCTGTGTTGGTTTTACTAAAAACCCCAACAATCAGATACAGAAGACCTTTTAGGTTCAGCATCAACAGGTCCACCAGATCTGGAAGAAGATGATGGAAATCATGACCCAAGAGGTACAGATGAATGACTTGAAAGAAGTAGTCAATAAATTGATTCCAGGCAGCATGGGAAAAGACGTAGAAAAGGCTTGTTGATCTAGTTATCCTCTCTATATCTCTTCAGAAAAGCAGAAATG